TTTTCACAGAAGACATTTTGACATTTCACAGTTGAAAAAAGCACAGGTGTAAATAATCAAATGAAATCTGGCTGAATTCCATTTATCTGCTTCAGTTTCAGGGTCCTGGTTATTGTGCATGCTGGCTCACTGTCAGAGTTTACTGGGACACTTGATTAATGTTATTGGGAACACGTGCGCTTTTCCTACCACCCTCTGTCTAAAATCTAGGCTATTAGCAGTCGATTGCAGATATAATCAAACTTCCCTTAAGCTAATCACTTCTTCTTCTAATTCAATGGACAATACAACTTAGCTGGGAAACACTAATTCTGATTCACTGCAGGCTTGAGAACTATGCAACTGTGTCAGCTGGGCTAATTCTTTCTGACCTAGAAGAGTGTGCTGTTTTTTGCTGAGCCAGTGAGGCTGCGATCTCTTTGAAGCACTTGAAAGACCTCAGCTCGTACAGTATGCACTGACTCTACTTGTTGAGTTAGAGATGCTCTTAATGCATACAGCTATTGGAATATTATCCCAAATAAACCAGTGTATCAACGAGTTAAACTGAAAGTACACAACTTTGGAAGGCTTAAGCTTCTCTTAATTCCAAGTCTGGAATTTAAAGATTATTAAAATGTATTTATCCATGCTTGCAAGACTGGGCAGTACAGTTCGGTCTCCTCTAACACTACATCCTGCGTCTATGCCAGGTGTGTCGCAGGATGACCTGGTGAAGTAAAATGCTGAATTCCCTTTTGCTAACCGATTAATGGCTTGTCGGTGGAACCACAGTTACTGAGGCTTACTGGCATATTTCATCACTTCTCTGGTGGACTAAAGTTGTACAATCACAGCATTGGATCACGGTGTTGGCTGCTACAACTAAAACCGCATTAGAGGTTTTACAAAAATAACAGCGTTCTTGAAGCAAGTTGTGGATGAAGCATTTTCGTGTTGCCAAACAGGACACTTTTTTAAAATCTTCCCTTAATAATTTTGTTGATTTACAGAGCTAAGAAAGTCACTAAGCATAGTCACATGACAAAACTAGATCCCTGCATGATGTCCTCCTCCTTGAATGAAGTTGACCTATAAAGTACTGTATGAAATAAATCTTGATTAAATCTGTATTCTGTCTGTTCCTCTTGAGTACATTTAAGGGAACATCTGAGATACTCACAGAACAGTTGACATCATTTCCACATAATGCAGATTTGCTACAACCAAACCAAACTTCACATATGTGCTTACGCCTGCGTTAAGTTGTGATAGAATTGCTGCTCTTTAAGATGTCATAAAGACCGTAAAGGTGATTCTTTTCTGCAGGACAGAAAGGACAAAAAGTGTAAAAAGATAATTGTTTATTTTGGTTCTTCCCCACCAGTAGTTTATCGACAATCAGACTGAAAGAAAATATAGACTAAGGTACACGAAATGCAGGGATTTTTAATATATACCACAATTAATTTCATGGAGACAGCATATGTGCATACTTTAAAGACTAACGCCAATATGATGACCACTGACTTCAAGGGAATAATCCCATGTTTGGGACCGGGTTGGGTTATTTAGGGTTGTAGGACGAGGGTCTGGGAAACTTGTTAGTGAGCACAAACAAAACACAAAACCCAATCACTTATCCATAGAACAAAACAATAAATGGTTTCACCCACCACTTTTCAATGACAATTCAGTTTTGATGCAGTAATGGATCGTGCCCACTCACCAGCGATAACACTCAAAAGAATCTTTACCTTTACCAACTCACAAAGCTTTGTAATTGTTTATGTAGGATTTATTTATATATATATACATACATATATATGTATATATGTGTGTGTGCGCGTGTCCGTGTATGCACACGTAATTAAAATACAAAAGTTATTAAAGTGCTTTCTACTGACTCAAACACACAATCTCTGAGAGAATGGTATTGATACAGCATGTTTGAGAGTTAAAAATCACTTAATTTCTGATTAGCTGTGTTTATCAGTGCTTAAGAGATAAAGACCATCAGATGTAAGGCATGATTGCAATCAAATGGTTAGCTGAGAGAGCACATCTGTGTCATAGGTAACATTACACATACGCAACTTACAGTGGCAGTCAGATAGAAGATCTTCAGGGGTCATCAAACGTGAACCAATCCATCTGTCAAGTTCATATAATAATACACCTGTTAATTATCGGCACCCTCATAGCAAATAGCAGATTTCTCATATTCTACTAATATACCAACTGCACCATTTTTCCTTGTTAGACACCGCTCATCAGACAACAACAAAACTATGACTCAACTTTTAAAACATATTTAACGGAATATAGCCTATATTATACATGATTAATTTAATGTAACTCCAAAATGTTGGAAGTTCAGCTGTTAGATTTATTGAGATATCTTTTTAAGGTGCGTAATGTGTGTCAACATCATTCAAAACCATTTATGAACTCATGAATGGCCCTGCCCCTTAAAGACCAGATGGCATTGAAAACAAATGTCAGGGTAAAAACCTGGTTAATAAGGAAAAGAGATACTAGTTGGTACTATGGAGGCAAACGTCTCCTGTACTCATTCCACATCATCTGAAGAACTGGCATGACGTTCACAAAGCACCGCTTTCTGTTTTACAGGACACAGTCATCATCTTGCAGCATTTCAGCTGAGTGGGTATAAAAATATAGACATTTGAGACCCTGAATATATGTTCATATGTGATTTTCTGCAACAAAACAAAACACAATTTACAGCTGTCCCACTCAGTGTACACACTGTCTTTTTTTAGACTTTACCCCCATCTAAAATGTGTTCTTCCATTACCCCTGGGGAGGAGGTTTACACCTGTTACAACACAGAACACATAACGGCAATTATAATGTTGTCGTCTTCTTCAACAGCCTACATCCGTCACTTCATTTGTTAATATACTAAAATTATCTCTGGGTGTGTGACACAGATTTACTCAGGAAAGAGGAGTGTGTTTGTGTGTGCGATGACATTACATCAACATGTCTTTGTGATGCCTGGCTATGTGCTGGCTCTTCTCCGAAGGCCTCCTAAAGCCCTTGGTGCAGTAGTCGCAGCGGTGGGGGTAGTCCTTGGTGTGAATGGAGATAACGTGGCGTTTGAAGCCAGAAGCGTCCGTACTGTTATACTCACAATACTGGCACTGATAAACCTTTCTACCACTGTGTGTCTTCATGTGCTTCTTCAGCTCAGCGGGCTGGCGGAAGCCTCGCCGGCAGCGCTTGCACTTAAAGGGGAGGTCCTTTGTATGCAAGGACAGGATATGGCGACTCAAGGTGAAGGTGTCGGGAGCATTGAAGTTACAATGCCGGCACTGGTGCACCTTGTTGCCCTTGTGTGTCTCCGCGTGTTTCTTCAGCTCCGAGGGCCTGTGAAAGCCTTTCTCACACACGTCACACTGATGGGGGAAGTCCTTGGTGTGAACAGAGATAATGTGTCGTTTCAGGTCACTGGAGTTGGTGCTCTTGTGCTCACAGTGTGGGCACTGATGGGTCTTGTGACCTTGCACCACCTCTATATGACGTTGGAGTTCCCGTGCATCAGCGTAGGCTTGAGGACAATGGCTGCATTTGAAAGGCAGATCTGCGCCGTGCTTGCTCTTGATGTGAGTCTTTAGGTTGGATTGATCTGCGCAGCGGAACTCGCAGTGCGGGCAGTGGTAGGGCTTCTCGCCTGTGTGGGTCCGCATGTGTTTCTTCAGCTCTGACGGGTGGCGGAATCCTTTGGCGCACTCGACACACACATGGGCAAAGTTCTTACTGTGCACAGCCAGCAGGTGACGGTTGAGCAGGCCCTGCTCGGCTGTCTCATAATCGCAGTACTTGCAGTGATGAAGTTTGGGCTCCCGGTCTTTGACGATGAGCTTGTCAGAGCCCAGGGGGCTGGACTCATGGTAGCGCCGTGCGTACTCAGTGTATTCTGGAGAGCGCTCATTGTTGTGGCTCAGCAGCTTGTGACTCTCCAAGTGGTTGTGGAAACTGACCTTCTTGTTGGTGGTAAAGTCGCAGTCTGTACACTGATACTTCTTCTTAAGCAGGTGGTCAGGGTGGTTCTTCATGTGGCATTTGAGAAAGCCTCGCGAGCGAAACTTCTTTCCACATATGTGGCACGGGTAGACCGTCAAAGGCATACCATCTGGTCCAATGATAACAGCTGGAAGAGAGGGTTGGAAAAATAGAGAAATACGGTTAACCTTTTAATCTTAAAGGCTTTTTATCAGATAATACAAATGTGTTGACAAGAAAAGTGCCAAATGACCATCTTATCATTGAGTCAAATGTTATGCAGCTCATACCAGTCTGACACTGCCGCGTGTCTCCTTTCTTCTTTTTCTTAGTTTTAGGTTTGAGAGCACGGTTGACACCCAGCCCTTCTCGGATTTGCAAAAATGGTGTGGAATTTCCATTTTTCACCTGTTCAATGGTATTACCTGTACAGACAGTTGGGGAAAAAACAGGATAGAAGACACTTTTAATTGTGATATATATATATAATATATAGGTTATTTTTAAAAGATTGTTTGCTCTATGGAACCATCTTTATAAACATGTTATATATTCTAGCTAGGACATTTGCGGTACAAAACGCCCAGACACAAACATCTTGTTGTTAAAGACTGATGGTTGACAAAATGGACCAGAAGCTGTTTTACAAAAGGAACATACTGATGTCATCATCGTCATCATCGTCACTGTCATCCTCATCATCCTCTTCTTCTTTCGGGTGGTTCTTGACTGCCATGTAGACCATCTTGTCACGGCCAACTCCCAGTCTCCCTGACGATGCAGCTTCCAGGTCAGGATGACCATTCTGGTAGTCATCCTCTGTTATTACCTCGGTTCCGCCTTGGGAAAGAAAAGGAAAGAAAATTACAATTCAATCAAAGCTGTCATCTACATTCAGTTTAACAGGAATTAATCTCTATGTAATTTCTTCTGTTATTAACTGATTATTCTTCAAGTCACTTGCCTAAATCGTCATCTGCTTCAGCTTTGAAAATGTAGACTTTGATGACCTCAGAGCCGTCCTCCTCTTTAGATTCCTTGTCTTCCATTACCTCAGTGCTGATCTCCAGAGGAGTATCTCCTATGTCCAGCTTCTCTCCCACCTCATCCACTGCAGCAACACAAAAAGCCTCAGTTATTAAAAACGTAAACATAAAAACACAGCATTGCATAAGAACAATGTTTATTGATGAAAGTTGTGTTATTATAAAGCAAGCCGTCTTACAGGAGATCATGAGGTAATCCTCAGAGCTGCTTCTTGCATCATCATCCTCATCTGTCTGCAAGGGAACAGCCTCAGTTGGCATCTGTTCCTGGATTATGGTCTCGGAGTTGGCCTCTGTAACCATCAAGCCTTCTGACACAAGCTGGTGGTCCAGCGTGTTGCCCTGGTGCTCGGACAGTAGCTCTGCCACAAACACCTGGTCTGGCATGTCATCGTGGTGGTGGTGGTTTGAGCCCTGGATGAGGTCTGAGGTGAGGACGTGGTGATGATGGGGGTCCAGCTCTTCCTCTATCGCAACTTCTGTGCCCAGAATATTGTCGGGCATGATCACACTGTGTTCTGAGGACACCATGTCCTCACTGGTGATTTCATGGGCTTCCACTCCTTGAGATTGCAGACTTTCCACGTCTACCTCCAGACCTTCGACAACCTCAGCTTCTAAACCCTCTACTTCCACCTCCTCCTCAAGGCCCTCAACAACGTGAGCTTCCAGGCCCTCAACATCTACCTCCGTTTCCAGGCCCTCCACCACTTGTGCCTCGAGACCCTCAACTTCCACCTCCCCCTCTAGGCCCTCAACAACCTGCGCCTCCAGCTCCACCACTTGTGTCTGTAGCTCCTCAACCACCTCTGCCTCCAAGCCTTCTACGTCTGCATGTAAGCTCTCCACCACTTCTGTCTCCAGGCCTTGGACCACCTGAGTCTCCAGGCCTTCCACCTCAAGCCCATGCTCCAGGAGGATGCCCTCGTCCGTCATCACATCAGAAAGAAGCATACCCTCGGGCACAGACACCACAATGTGCTCCCCATCAATGTGAGCCAGACCCCCCATGCCTGCAACTGTAAACACAACATGCAGAGAAGGGTGCATGACAATGAGTTTCAAACTTCAAAATGACAATTCAAATTACAGCCCAGTCTTTTGTACAGTCTAGCTATAGCACAGATGTCATAGCACCGTGTCACGTTTGTGAAGGTGACTCATCTTCTCGTTGATATGCAGTGAAAATGGCATTAGAAGAAATTACAGGTGTCATCTTTAGGCTTTACCTTTATTTCTTAATTCGCTTTGGATTACAAGTTGCATGTTGAAATGAAGTACCGTGTGCAATTTGACTACTTGACCACCTACCAAAGTCTTGCATGATCATAGCGTGGGGCATTTTCAGCTCCTGAGTGTGTAGCTCCAACACCCCTCCTCCTTGATCCATGTCTTCACTCAGAAAAAGACTGAAAATTACAGTGTAAACTGTGTCAGCGGTTTTCTTTCACTTTTGTTAGTGTGCATTACTAATAATGAAAGTGAATGCAAAAAAAACTGAATGCCACTACGGCTAATATTCATCATACATACCTTCACATTTGATGACAAAACCCTTAGAATAAAACCAATAAGATATTTGATGGGCTTTCTTCCATCAAGGTAACCAATCCCTCTGACAATGAAAAAACAAGTACTCATAATAAGAATTACACTCACAATACAAACAGAACTGAAAAAGAGACAATTTGAAACAAATATGTTTAAAAACATTTATACATGAGTTCAGGTTTACAATAAGGAACATTGGCGCCACCATAAATAATGGCTTCTGTACGGGTACAACACACAGGGAAGAACAGAACAACTCCACTGCTGCCACTTAAGAGGAGGGCAGTTATGTTGTTGACCAGTGGCTCCATCCTTTGCCTATTAAGAGTACTACAGGCAGCTTCAACCTAAGGACATATAGCTATACACCTGAAGCTGGTTGAGCCTGATGGCTGGAGCCCGTCTGAGACAAAGGGCTGTTTTCGCTCAGTGTGCAGGAGGGACGAGCTCGCAGGAAAACGGCTCTAATAGCCAGTGGAAGTTCAGTCCTTGCTTGTTTTCGTGAGAGGACGGTTTAAAAAAAAATAATAATAATACGCCAAATGTGTCACGTCTGCAGTGGTCTGTAGTGACGTTGAGGGTCCCTGTTGTCCGCGGATAATATCATGTTGAGATGAAACTAACACTGTTATCGTTTTTTGAGGGGGGGAAAAAAAAAAAAAAAAGTAGTGTATTTTTGGACTCTTTGCACAAAACTACACACGCTCAGAGTGTATGACCGCCAATGAAAGTACCGCAGACGTTATGCAATGCATACTAGGCTGGCTACCGCCCTCCACCCACCGGAGCTAACCGACTTAGCAAGCGAGCTAGGGCTGTTCCTCCGAGCGCCATCTTGTTTTAGCACAATGGCTAATTCAAGGATCGAAACAACCGATCTTATTTCCCCAACAAAGAACCCCCCGTTTCGCACAACGCTACAACAGCAAGGCAGCAATCAGCACACGCAACAAACCACTGTCACGCATGTGTGTTTTTTTTCGTCGCTTTCACGTCGCGCAGATACGTCCGTCCGTCCGGCTAGCTAGCTCGCTAAGCTAAGCGAAGCCGCATTATCTTCCATGTTGTTTTTCGAAAAGGCTGAAAGAGGCCCGCTGCGGCCGACTGGGCCCCCGCCTCTTATTCCACATGCCTTTCTAACCGATTCAAAATAATTTTACCTGATAACGTCGTCTTCAGACTCTACCGGTGTTTCTCCCCCTTCTCAGTTTTGTCTGTTATTGTTTTGGTTTATTTTTGACGGTAAGCTAAGTGCGGCCTGCAGTTTTGGATCCCCGGGCACCCTTTGCTAGGCCTCGGCCAATCAGCTTGCTTCCTGACAAGCAGAGGGAGGGCGGGGGGCAGACAATGCGTGGCCTCGTTTACCGCTGATCCCTTACTATTTGCGTCATGCATAAGAGAGCAGAGTTACATTTACACAGACTTTCTCTTAATGGGGACACAATTTCGTTCAGTTCTGAGGCGCAGAAATTCAAACGTTATCACATAGAGATTTTTTTTTTTTAATTATTATTATTGTGGTGTGTGTGTGTGTGCTCCCAGACTTTGAATGCGCAGATGAGGCCTGTAGGCCATTTTGTCACAAGGGGTGGGTAAGCGTCGAGCACTGTATTGTGAAGCGTTTGGTCATGCACCCAGGAAATATCCGGGAGATGATGACGGAACCTGCTTGCACTGCGGATGAACTGCATAGTGTCACTAATTAACCTGTGATGCAAGCAGACCTGGAATTTGCATGCATATATATATATATATTTAAAAAAAAAAAACAGAAATATTACAGTTATAGTTTCAGGGTAAGACTTTATTATCCAGTTTCATTACAGCTCTTAAATTGCAGAGGCACTCTGCATGAGGGTGCATAGCTGTCTAAGGCACGCGGCCTTCGTGCATAAACATTTTCTTTATTACAGTGGTATCCAAAAGCAGACACTCAAAACCAACTCTAGATATGCTGTAAAAATGCTTGAAAAACACAGTACCGTAAGATTACCTTTAATGAATCACTTCTGGTATTAGAAAGAGTGTTGCAGCTGAAATGCACCTTGGCACAAACCATATTTTTTCCTTTTTTTGTAGTATTTATAAGGGCAGTGTGGTTTACAGGAGTTGCATTGCTGTGTATTCGAAGAGCAAAACACAAATACAACACAAATCTAATGAGAATTTCACAATGAGCCAATCAAACATTCAGAAATTCACACAGATCTTTGTGGAACACGTGGAAGATTTGTCATATTGCAGTTACATAATGATGAAAAGGCCGTAGGAATAAGGAGGAAAAAAACAAACAAAAAACCAAGCATGCAACACTCAGCACCTTCATCTATTAGGAATTCACACAGAAAATGAACAAACCAGCAATATCTTCATTTAAATTGTCTTCATATCAACTACATCAAGAGAACAGTAATACACAACCCTTAATATTCCAGCAGTTTCTCACAATCACCATAGAAAAATAAGTAAAATTGACACAAACAAATCTTCTGGAAGCTCTGAGTTGGTCCATATCACAAGTGGAGTGCATGTGTGCCTTCTTGTCTGCCTACACATCCTGTCTGTGTGGGTTGACAATGTTTCATGCGAGGGCAAGAGATGAGTCTTAAACTACGAATCCAGTGTAGCCCAGCGCTCCAGTCTGAAATGGGGGACTGAAAGGTTGTATGTGTGTCTGTGGACACAGTGGCTGTGTTCTTTGTACTACGAGAGGTAATCGGGAGAGATCAGGTGAGGGGTTGCAGCAGTGAACATCCTTCATCACCAGCCAACCTCAGTAACAGCCATCTTTCCAGGATTCATCTGACATTTTACTCATGCCCAAAGACCTGTAAATAAAATAATAATATGTTTAACGTATAATTATCAAAAGGACACATTTCTCAATATCTTAATTTTCCATCAAAGCACTCACCTTCTGGGGGGTTGTGAGAGTTTACTCCTTGTGGATGCTGATGACACAGCCTGTCCTCGACCCATGGCAGGCCTCCCCACTCCAGTGGAAGCTCTCCCGGGTATGTAGGCTCCGCCATTGACAGAGCCTGGGGACTGCACCCTGCGACCCCCTCCTGCAGGCGATGCTTGTACAACAGGCAGACCTCTGGATGGCTGACGACAAGGTGGCATGGAGCCCACCGGACCGACAGCTTTAACTGGAGCGCGCAGGGAGAGAGGCGACTGGCCGTTGCTACGCAGCCGACTACAAGCCATACCTTGAGTGAAGAAAGTAGAGTATAAAAGAATCACAACCAGCTAATTCTTTCAGACAAGTTAGGAAAGCACATATTAATTAATACATAGAAAAATGCAGTAGTTGAAATCCAAACCCCGCTTGTGGCATGTAGAAGTTGTAGGCAAGCCTGGGAGGAGCAGTACTGGATTATCGAGGACAAGTTTGGAGTAAAGTAGTGGAATAATCATGGAGCAGGTCGAGTAAAAAGAGAGTTACCTGTACAATACTTGGGGTATGTTAGGGAAGATGAGTAGTCAGGGAAGGAGCAGCAGAGGGTAGCTGTGATTCATATATCATATATATATAATGAGTGTGTTATAGTTGATGACTTGTGTGTTCAGGGTTAGACTGTCAAGGTTAGATCGATACATCTGTTTTAATATATATCAGACTGATATTAGATTCTTTCTTTTTTTTTGGGAGGAGGGTAATATCAGTTTTTTCAACATTCACGTTAATGATCTTTTACAATTGAAACATTTTTGATTTGAACATTTTCTTTGTTTGTTAGTGAAAAAGTAACACAACAGGTGTTGTGTCTCATCACATTGGTGTATATTACTGTTTCTTGTTGACAGCAGCCTTCAGGGCTCCAGACTTTTACATTTATTTAAACAATATTTAATTAAAAAGAAATGACTAGGGATGTCCCAATCAAGCAATCAAGATTTTTTCAGACCCGATCCAAACTCAGTCATTTAATATTGATTATCTGCCGATGCCGAATCCCGATCCGATACTTGTTTTTGTTTTATAGATAATACAGTGTATATGGCACACTTCAAGTACATTAAAGTTACTAAAATTAACCCAAGTCTGAATAAATTTATAGCTCTGCATTGCATTAAGAAACAAAATGCCTGCATCATGTTTTTTCCCCCTCTGTTATCTTCTTTCCTTTGTCGCTGTTTGGAGGGAGTTTCCCTCGTCAGTGTTTGGTGCTTCAGTGCAGCCTTTACCCGAGTTATTTGAATGAACTGTCTGTATTCTATTGAGCGGTTATTTCCGTTGTCTGTACATCTTTTGCACAAATTGCATTAATTAATTACTCTTATTGGCTTTTTGTTCACAGGACTTATGTTGCACTTGTAGTGGCGTATTGAGTCTCTCCGAGCACGGGACAATGCCTGGTGAGATCGGATCAGGACATCACCAGAAATTAGTATTTTTAATGTACATTTCAACATTTCTGTTTACATTCCAAACTCATTGCATGTATACTTAAAGTCCTTCCTCATATAACATTTGCAAGGTCAATTTTTAGAGAAGTTTGAAGCCTGAATTTTATCCATATTTGTTTGCTATATGCAAAAATACGATAATGCAAATTGTTTTGATCAATATTGAGATCACGATTTTTTCCTGATTACAGAGCACTCCTCTAGGTCCCAGACGGCAAAACTTTAGTTTGTTTTGATAAAGTAGTCAAGTCAAATTGATCTTTTTCCATCATTCTGTGATGTGAACAACCGTGATCTGATTTTAAGCTGCACACGGTATGGGTCTGAACAGTGACTGCAACTGACTGAGAAGTGGGAGGTGTGCAGCGTGTTGCCTGCAGCTCTTCCTCTAACAGCTCACTGTGGCTGCTCCTTCTTGTTCCATTACTTCCTGACATATTTCAAATGGATTTGCTGTCCAAAGAATCAAAAAATTTGACTATTGTCTTGTTTTGTAGACACATTTTTGCTGAACGATAGCAGCCATTGTCAAGCTAACTGACAAACACTTTGCACTTCCGGTGACCAGCTTACTTCAAAATAAGTCAACTCGTGTTTCGTCAGTTAAATGCTTTTAAAAAGAGAAGCTGCAGCCGTAGGAAATGTTTGGTTTTTGTTAGCAGTAACTTAATACAGTATTTTTCTGGATCACCCGTGGTGGCTGGCTGTGTTCAAAGAGGTTTTCTATGATCTGAGTACGCATTTAAAACGTGAATATCGTAGACGATCACACTAATTGAATTGTAGGAAGACAAAATCGTTAGGGGGATTAGTTTTTGATTAATTGTGCAGCTCTAGTGTCACCAATGTGCGTGCACGTGTGTGCTCATGCTTGTGCAAGATATAAGCAAATTGAGGACCTACTCATGCTCCATAGTGCTAGAAGTGGTCAAATATTCCACAGGGTACCTTGAAGAAGAATCTTCCAGAGTATCGATCAAACCTTACCTGTGGTCATGCAGAGGTTAAGATGAGGTGAAGTGGTAGGATAAAAGTGACACTACAAATGGCTATAAGAAAATGCAGGTGCCACTGTATTACAGGAGTGGTGTGGACCAGGTGAAGAGGGTAGGGTTACCTGTGGAGGGGGAGTGAGGCAGGTGGGACATGCGGTTGCCAGAGCTCTGGAGGTTAGCCTCCATGCTGCGGCTGTTTCTGACTGCCTCCAGGGAACGTAGGCTGGTGCGGGGGGCCAGATTAGGCATGCTGTGCCTCAACTCCTCTGGAACCACACATATAGAACACATTTAGCAACATCATGATGTGTATTATTATAGTTTTGGTACAACAACAATCTCTGTGAAGGTCACTCTGCTCTTCTAAGTGCTGAATTACCATGTTTCTGGTTATAGCCTACCCTCACTCTTAGCAAATTTAAGCAGCTCTGCACTGGGGCCCTGGAGAGATCTTCTGGGTGCTCTTGTGCGTGGGGCCCCGAGTCGGCTGCTGTATTCCTGACCGTGGTTGGAGGTGGATGGAGACAGGCACCGGGGTGAGCCTAAGGGCGAGGGGGTAAAGCGATGTCGTCGCTGTGGCATGGAGCAATACTCATCCTCTTCGTCCTCCAGGCTGTAACTATCAAATTCCTGATCACTGTAGGTGCCACCCCGGCGCAGGGACTGCAGAGAGGCTGTGGAGCTGCGGCGTGATGCAGATGCTGAACTAGAAGCATAATCCTGCCTCAAACCTGACACCAAAAATATAAAGTTATTAAGCCATGCAAATGCACTAGCATACACACAGATGCATGCACATATAAAATCATAGAAAACTACTCAACTCAGCGTTAAGATGGAGTCAAAATATCTATCTCACCTACTGAGCTGTAGGAAAATATATTCTCTAAGGCTAACCGTGCCAGTTAAGTCCCTTTCTTCATGAGCTGTCACAAACAGTAGTAGACTTTGGGAACACAGTCACATGTGATGTCCAGCACATCATGTGCACAACACCTCTACTCACTCTCTTCCTGTAGGCGAGCCATGATCTGGACATCAGTGAGATCCTGCAGCTTATAGCCCATAGAGATGGAGTCATCTGATGTGCTGAGCTCACTGTCTATGGAGGACTGTGAGCTCAGGGCTGACTGCATGTTTGGGACACCTGTAAAGACAGAGGGACACCTATTAAAACAAAAGGTGCATATCATACATAAATGGCAACAATATTACCAGTAACCAGGTTCTACAAGTTATTTCCACGGTTGGAGAGAATTACCTTAAATTCTCAAATAAATGCCAATTTTTAACAAAATAGCCACGTGTCTGTTTGAACCAATAAAAAAAATGGGAATTACCAGGACCTGTAATATAATGCCTACAGAGCAGGGCTCTAAAAAGAGGGAACAGAAATGGTGTCGGCCGCACCTTCACCTTCATTATTCAAAACACATATTGGACTATAGTATGCACTTCAGTTTTTTATTTATTTTCCTCCATTGTGCAACACGGGTACCAAGTTTAAACCTGACACTGCCCATCCACAGGACCAGCACATCACGACAAGATGATAACTAGCTTTCAAACAAAGATCGCCTAACCCCTCCAAAAAGACTAAATTGAAATTGGATACGGGGCCCAGGTGAAGCACTGCTTTGATTAATGAGCTCCTCTGACAACATAAAATGAGCATGACAAATATGAGACCATCACCTATGTGGTAACTGAATTGATCAAAAAAGATTAGATGCCAACAGGATCTGTCAGACTCTGCTCAGTAGATGACAGGGACTGATTGATCAGGCTCCTAGAACTGTGTTATCGCTTCAAGGTAATTAAGCAGAGCAGCACATCGCAGTGTTGATGGAAAAAGTTGGTAAAGCTTATTTAAGTTGGGAAACATCGAAATAAAGCAGCTCAATCAGTCACAATCAGCTGGAGGAGGTGTGCGAAATATAACTCACACCCGTAGCACTGCCTGTATCAGGACAATTTTGATTTAAATTTAATATTCACCCAGTGGATATGCATTTCATGTAATTTATCAGACTGACTTGGCCAGTGGTTAACAATTCAAGGTTTGAATACAGTCTTTGTTTGACAATCACATCTGGTACATTTTAATTAACACGGCTGTCCTCCCAGACTTCATTTCAGCCTTGCCTAACAACATTAGTCTAAAAACGACTGTTTGCTGATGATGCCCAGGAAAGCAGTATGCAATGTTTCCCCCCGCCAGACGTGTCTGTCTGACACAGGCCTTATTCTCAGACTGAGACAAACGAGAAACGACAACATCATCCAGGGGCATTTGGTTATGTAAAAAGTCTGGGATTAGATAGGGTCACCACTCCCACAAGCCAAGCATTTACAAGTTCATGCAAAGATGTTATTTACAGGCTTTTCACAACATTAGCACTGTTTGTCTCTGCACAGTGAAGGGCCAGGTATTGCAAGTAACTGTCACCACAAAGTCAAAATCACTATCATTGAACACTTCATACAGGTTAGCATTGCCTAACAACTTTTAATATACCATGTTTCCATCCCTCTTAAGTATAAACTACATTTAGTTTACAAAATTGCTGACCATCTTCCCCAAGGTATACTAGTGTTTTTTAATCTGCCTGGCACACACAGTTCTCCACTCATTTCAATTGGTATATTGATTTATTTATTTCATTACTTTTATTATGTATTTATTTTAGAATAATCAATGTGATTGTGATTTAAGTGAAGGTTTGGAGGAATGGGAAGGATCTGTGTTTGTGATGCTGGCAAAAACAGCAACCTTTGTGATGCAAGAAGCTGCCAAATACATATTTGCCCTTTCATGACATCTGTCTTCACTTATTTTTCTTTATTGACAAGATATTACTGAATTCAACAGACAACGATTTCATCTGTGATATCAGACCTTTCCACAAAAATGAAACCTATGTTCATTGTGATGGTATGCATTTTAAATTCTTTGTTAATTTTGTGAATTTTAATACTGTAATAAAATGAATGGTAAACAATGTCTGCCTGGTAGAAGTAGAAAACCAACCTAGAAAACCTGTGATATGTTTTCAAAAAAGGTTAATAGTAATGTGCAGTAAATGCAACATACAGTAAACTGGGTAAGACATGCAACGATGCCAGAACAGTCTATAGAAATTACCATTCAGATCCCCAAGTGGGCACATTGTTGATGCATTAGTGCACGCACATATCAACTGACCTACATCCTTACAATAAATGACGTCAATCCCACTGTTGTGTTGGGCAGAAACTGAGGAGCACAGTGTGTTAATGTCATGCCATACCTGAAGTGCCACAGGTTAGTAGGGATTTGTTAGTTGATTTGTGGTACCCAGGAGAGATCAGGCCTGAGCCTGCCGAGCCTGCCTCTGCTGATGGGCTACTGTACATGTTCCTCCATCGAGATGCTGCAGGGAACGGGAGAGGAGAGATATTCTCAGAGAAGAAAATACACACTCAAAAGAGATGACATAAAGAGAGAGACATTCAGAATATGGTTGCCAAGTATGGTCGGCATCAGTGTAAATGATATCAAGGGCTCCATTTTAACTGGCAATGGCAAGTGCAGAGCAGTTGGTGTTGGGCTGTGTGGGCGTCAAGTGCTGCTTTGCTTAATGTAGGTGCAGCAGAGCAAAGTGTAAACGGCTGACTGAAGGGGAATATAGATTAGAGGGTGTGGTGATTAATAAATAACTGGTCTCATCACTCAGAAACAGCTGAGCCACTCAAGGTGACACATGACACAACAGCCCAACAAATAAAGACTGGTCATCTACAGGAAGTCATGTTATCTGGATGAGTGTTACCATGTGAACACACAGCACTGCATACCCAGAGGCAAATGGTGTTGGGTTCCTTTAAAAGTTAGATAAAAACAAATAATACAATAAGTTTTAACAGTTTATATGATTGCATCAATTTATATACATAAATTGAATTTGCTACTGGATGTTGCACTAGAGGACCAGCAACTAAGACCAAAACAATGGGACTGAAACAAAATCAGAAGTTAGGTGTGAAAATATTCAAACAAGTAAACTAACGTTAATCCTTGTGGACAAATCTGCCCCTAAAAGTACATTAAAACTGAAAGTGCTTGTTTTTGCCACCGACAGGCTCAGATTGTTTTTCTGACAACCTTAAGGAAAGGATCCCTACAAAGGCAGACCTTTTGTTTAACCAGAAACAGCCGTAACATTGCTATC